AACTGAGGATGACTTGGATCACCTCATGTACTTCCTTGAGTTTAAGTACAAAAGTTGAACACAAATAATTCTGGAAGTATTTGCTATAGCAATATGAATGCAAAGAGCAATGAATGTGTTGACAGAGTATACGTGTACTGGGAAACGAACACATTTAATGACAGCTATGGGTCTGGAATAGGTGACTCCCAATGTTAACTTTTAAGATTTAACACTATGCCCTAAGGTGTTCTCAAAACCAAACTCTTTGACCATAGAAGATGCCAAGCATGATCTTAGGCAAGGCTGAAAGCATTTTATCGCTTGGGACCCCATAGATTTGAGCATCAGTATAAACATAAATATTCTATTAACTAAAATATTTGGATTTCATTACTGAATTTTCATTACTAAACAATTACTGAATTGTCTCATGAACAGCAGAATTAATGAGATCTGCTTTTCTGTGGATTTTTGTCCTGTGTCCCACATAGAAGTCATTCTCATTGCTAATAATCTCCTGAATCCCTATTATTTTCTAAGATTCTCTGTGGCAATAGCTTGAGTTCCTCTTTTATGTGCCTCAAATCTCTCCCAGATGTCTAAGGGTCCTGTGAGACAATACATCCTCAGCGTCTGCACTTGGCTGGCTGGTCTGTGCCTGCTGATAGGCAATTGGAACAGGCAACTGCTGAGCTTCTGCTTCAGCATTTCTCTCAGCAGCAACTCGTCCCAGACACCAGTTCTCCTGAAATGTTGTTGAACTTCAAGTTTGTGTGATTTCTCTCCCAACCTCAAAAGTGTACAAAATGTATTGCACAAAAATAAAGGACAAGTGGGCATAACAATTGCACAAGCTTGTTTCCTTAAGTTTTCTGGCTGACGAAAAAAGAAGATTTTGTATTTGAAGATAAAATTCTGAAATGTATTTTGAAGGCCAAAGGTCTTGAAGGCAAATCAAAAGAACCTGGCACAACCATTTTCTTTGCCAGCCTCAGAGTTGAGAATGGAAAGGAAAAGTTAAACAATTTTTTTCAGGTTTTTTTGGATAATAATAAGTCATTCTCTTCTGCACACAAAAGCTTACATATCTTGTCAAAGTAGTAGTGTTCTTGTAGCACCAACAGTCTAAGTAAGATATAAACAAGGAAAGCTGTGTAGTTAAGTCAGCCAAAGTATCCGGAAAAAACAGCAAGCATGCAAGTCTTTCTTCAGGTCTGAAATAGAGGCAGTAAACTGCAGACTAAATACAGGTTTGAAACAGATGAGTTTGACATAATAGAATTATACTTGAAGAAATTGTTCCCAATTCTGTGCTTAACAGAAATGTACTGCTCATCTCTGGTTTCGATCTATGAAAACTTTGAGAGCCTGTTTGTTTGTTTATTTCTTTTTCCAGATATATGAGGTATTTAATAAAATACACTACTTCTTCTTAGGAACATTCCTTGCTTCAGAGATATGTTTTATATTTCACTTACTTCCTTGATTTTCTTTTCATAAGAGCAAGGAGTTTGTTTAAAAAGAAGTTGCTCCTGCCAAGAAAAAAAGAATAATTTTTGCTCTAGGCATTTCTAATCCGAGTTTCACTATTGTAGCTCCTTATAGTAGGATTCAGTTTTTTGTAACTAATGTGGTGGCTTTCCTCATAATTTTTTATATTGCTTTTTATATTCCTTCTGCTCCCTTTTGCTGCAACTTCATTTCCTCTGGTCAGGAGAGCAAACCACTTAGTGATAGATTTTCATCTTAGTGTAATAACACGTGTGAAAAGGGAGAAGGAAGTGTAAATGTGAAGAAGAAAAATTATTATTATTTCAGAATAATTATATATGGTGTCTGGAGTTTATATAGAACACATATGGGAGCACATAATGTTAAAAAAGCCACATGTATTACATCCTGAATAGACTGTAATCTAAATAAGATAAGACAAATATAATTCAATAGAGCCATGGTTCAAAGGGGAGTCCCCTCAGCTTGGCAGCACTGGGAAAAAGGGAGAAAGGATTTCCTGAAAATCTTCTTTTAGAGGGAGGCAGCTGATAAGAATAATAATGTGTCTTCTGTGAATAAGAAACCATGTAGACTGCAAAGAAATGTAATTTGGCTGGTGTATAAACACCTGTGCTCCAACTTCTGCCTTCTGGATTTTAGGGAGACAAACTACCTGTTAGGTAGTCACTGCAGAGCATATTTTGCCTTCCTCTGAGACAAGTGGCAATGACCAGTGGTGAAAGAGGATGTCGGAGACAAACCACTGATTGCTCTGGTATGATGCTGCCAAAGCTACTAGAACAGGAGAGACCGTGTGTGAAGGTCTTAGGGCAGAGAGACAAGGCAAGGAGATGAAGATCAAAGGAACAGATAGAAAACAATGAAAACTACGGAAGGGTATATGTCAGCTGTAGACAGGGTTTATGCAGGTGAGAAGCAAGCTTTTGTATTTTAGGAAGTATGCATGAGGCCAAATATGCATGCAAATGCTGTCAAAGCGGTAGGTGAGAGATACAGAAGCATCATCATGGGAAAGCTTGAGGAGCAGGAGCTCACATCGGAAGACTGATGTGGTCAAAGCAAGATATCACCACTATTAGCTACAACCAGTATTTACAGGGACTTATGTAGGAAATCATCTACTTGAGAAAGAGGATATAATGAAATAATGTGCAGGAAAGGAAAAGTGAACTAAAAGTATCCTCCCATATTTCAGTTTGAGTCTTCTCTGAGGCTCACCACAGACTACTGAATTTCAGTTCTTGCAGACTAAACACTTTGTCCATGAGTATCACTTGATGGTCTCTGAGCCAAAAGGCAGACATGCTTATTTGAAACAAACTAGTGTACTCAGCTCAGCGTAGCCAAATGTGGCATGTGTTCTCAGGCTCTAGTATCAGTGAGCACCAAATATCTGCTCAGGTAGGCTAGTTAAAACAAAAAATGTCTCCTGAGTAGAGTACTTTCTATTGTAATTCCCTGTAGGAACAACAAAAAAATCCCTCCATTTTGAATTTTTTTGATCCAGTCATGAACTTTTAAGCTTTTTAATTTTTTAAATTAAGTTTCTTTAGAAGTTTGCAGCTGGAATACCTATGCATTACCTGAGTGAAGTATTAGTTGCACTGCAGCTTCATTCAGCTGCCGCGTGACCTCTGGGGAGGCAGGATTTCATCCTCAATAGACCCATCTAGTCAGTGCTGGAGCCAGGGCAATGCAATAAAGAACAAAAGAGAGAGAGGGCTGTACTTTCAGTGTTTCCGTCTCACATTAGGAGTGACTGAAATGTCATATAAAGGAGATCGATTTCTTACCAATGTGTCTCATGGACACGTTTCCCATTACCTAATTCTAGTCCCAAGGAAGTCTTTTAATTTTACCGCCATTTAAAGAGTAGACGCTTTCTGGGAATGTTCAAACTTACTCTTCAAAATTACACTGACTTAATCAATGGGAGATCACATGGTTTAATTCATGATCTGAAACTGAGAGCTGTCTGTTTTAGTATTTAACTGTCTGTTAAATACCATGATGGAGTGTGCAGAGGGAAAGTAACTTCCTATAATGAATGATAAAGGAAAATATTTGAGATTGGACACAATTTAATCTATTCCAAAACCAGGATTGCTTTGTTGTTTATTTCTTTCCTATATCTGGCAGTCACACCTTAGTAACAGAGGGTGGATTTATATCATCCAGTCTTTTATTTAATTTGATCAGGAAGGGTCTTCTAAAACACTCCCAGCACATCACTGTAAGCAAATCAGGAGATTTCCAGTTCTCAATTTTCCTAACTTAAGAAATATGAGTAAGCATAGTCATGTTGAAATAGTTCTTCACAGGTAAAGATTATGGTTTAAAATAGTTTTTATTGTTTAAAGAAAACAAAACTAGAGCTAAGAGTTAGCAGGTGTCAACTAATAGTTTATAAAGAAAAATAATTTTAATATATAGTAAATTAAATTAATTACATTAGATAAAACCTTGAATTTAATGTAGTAAAATATTCACTAAAATTTAATCAACTTTAAAACTTGAAAGGTGCATGAAAATACAGACCTAGGCATGCATTTTGAAAACTGGCTAAACTTTTAATATTATTTTTCCATGTGTGAAAATTGTATGGTGTGCTTAACTGGAAATAAGAACATCTGAATATATGAAATGTGAGGAGAACTAGGTGCCTTAAATGTTCTACTGCTGTTTGGTTTTCATTCTTAGAAAATAAAGTTACAGTACCCTCTCCTGTGCTTTGGATAGTCTATAGGAATACTCCTAACTCTTTAAGTTAAGGATTTCAAAACATCAAAACATATATAGATATCTTATTTCATCTCAGAAAAAAATAACTTTGTAGTAACCAAAATCTTAGCCAATATGAGCTTCAGCGGACCAAGAGTGAAGTAAATAAATGCTACAACCAAGGATCAACTCACAGATACTGCCCTGTCCAGCAGACCTTTCATAACAGAAGAAACTTTTTTAAACTAAAACCCTCGCTCCTTCAGTTGTGGCAGACACTTGACAGCAAAGGAATGGTTTATTCTTCTTTAGCGATTAAGACATGAGCTATCATCCACAGCTAACTTGAATTCAGTGTATAATCTAGGCTAATTTAAACTCTTTTAAACTTTTTATAGTCTATAGCAGAATTCTGTTTTGACTTAATTGTCTTAATGATAACTAGGTTTGACACCATATAAAATGTATTATAGAATATGACTATGTCCGGTATTCCCATTGAAGGATGTGCAAATACAGCATCATACTATTAATATCTTGTGATTAGAAAGTGATTTTCAACTGATAACCTCACCTGCCCTTTCAAATATTAGTTGAACTGCACGACACTCCTAAATGGTACGTATTAGTAGATGCATTTTAGCGAGAGTCAAACTGGAGCACAGAAAACTATGACCAATAATTAGAATGTATAGGTAAACTATAATGATCATTTTATTATTGTATAAAGGTTCTACCAATTACAATAATTACATCTAGTCCTTTTGCCAACTTTTTTCTAGGGTTTTGGTAGCCCATCAGGTGAACATTGGCTGGGAAATGAATTTATCTTTGCAATAACAAGTCAGAGGCAGTATTCTCTAAGAATTGAATTAATGGACTGGGAAGGAAACCGGGCATATTCACAGTATGACAGATTTCACATAGGAAATGAAAAGCAGAATTACAGGTAAGAATCTATTGAAATTATTTTGACTCTGCTGAGTGATAAATATTGTTCATTGTTCCCTTGTTAAATATGAGAAAGGACAATAATATGAAACTGATGTAAAAATAAAATAGAAATCTGATTTCTCAGTGATGGAAGGTTAGAGTAATCTATTAATTGTGCTGGCTAGTAGAACTGCTAAAAAATTGTATAACTTTTAGCCTATCTGAGATCATCAGAACTCAAAACTGATTGAGTAGAAAAAGGATATGGATTCTTCATTACATCTCGAAGGATTTCTAACTCAGAAGCATAAAAGTGAAACAATGGACATGGGACAAAAAGACCAAAAATGCTGTTAAAATATCTGATATTTCCAAACTAAAAATTCGATGTAAATGAAGAGGAAAAACAGAATGCTGCATCTTATTGTGAGGAGATAAAGCACAAAACAACGTGTCAGGTACTGGATAGCCTTGATTCGTCATCATCATCAGCATGCCATTTATTATAGTTCGAAAAAGACTTATGAAAATAAAACTTTTTCCAATAATATTTTTCTCCCATATTTTATGTTAAGATAAACTTAGGAAACTTAAATCTACGTACTAAAAAAAGAAAAAAACCTTGGCAACACAAGAGATATGGATGACCTAAGTGGTTTAATTTTATTTTTTTTAATCATTGCTTCATCTAAATAGATGGTACAAT